TATATATATTTCTTTTCTTTTCTCGTAGTTGTTGAGGCGACAGCACTGACTATTCCAATACGACACCTTAATTGCCGTCGCTACTGTCTTCTGTTCTCGTCAAGCTAAATCCCTGGCAGTCAGAATGCGTAATGTAACTATTATCAGGGGTTGAGTTCTTTTATGCGAATCCGATTTGGGTTGAAAATTGACCACGAGGCATGTTTAAGCCCACCTAGAGTTGCAAAGGAGTCAATTAAAACAAATCGCCTTGCATATACAATTCACCATGGAAGTCTGGCGAAGAAAGTTGCAAAGCACAATAGGAACCCTTCCATACGACCACCTTTAGGATTATTTAAACATCCTATGCTTACTTTAAGCTTTGGTTTTAACTTTATCTGAGCTTTTATAGCTTAATTTGAGCTTCCTCATGTTAATTTGAGCTTTTTAGCTTAATTGAAGATTTCTTAGATTAACATAAGCTTCCTTTGCATAATTTGAGATTTCCAGTTTAACTTCCGCTTCCATAGCGTAATTTATAATTTCTTAACTTAGTTTGAGCTTCCATATCTTGATTTGAGCTTCCTTATCTCAATTTGAGCTTCTTTCTTCATTTTTTATAGCTTTCCTTAGCTTAATATGAGCTTTTTGAGCTTCATTTGAGATTTCTCGCTTTTTAAGCCTATATATGTTTGAGATTTTTAGCATAACTTGGCGTCCTTAGCTTAATTTGAGCTTCTACAGCTTCTTTGCTAATATTTAAGATTGCCTAGCTGAACTTGAGATTCCATAGCTCAATTCGAACTCCATTAGCATGATTGGGGATTCTGAACACAATTTGAGCTTTTTTATAGCCCTATTTGGAATTCGCTAGCTTAATTTGAGCGTCCTTTGCCAAATTTGACTCCATAGCTTATTGCGAGCATCCTTAGCTTGGGTTGAGATTCCTTAGCTCCATTTAGGATTTATTAGCTTAATTTGAGATTCCTTAGCATAATTCGAACTTCCTTTGGCTTGATTTAAGATTTTTTTAATAACTTTATTTGAAATATGCTAACTTAATTTGAGCGTCCTTTTAAAATATTTTTCGACTCAGCTTAATGAGAGCTTCTTGAGCTGAGCTTTCTGTCTTTGATTGGTCATTCTTGAGTTGATTTGAGCTTTATTTGCTTGATGTGAGTTGTGTTTTACGCTAGTAGCTGGATGAAGTTGCGCTCACCTCCTGGTCAGAGTAAGGCGAATCAGGTGGGAGAACACTTCGGTCGCCCTAGGGGAAAGTGCTGTGGTTTCTAAATGTGGCAATTCGTTTAACTCGGCAAATTGCTGACCAATCTGTAAGATACAGGTATAAAAATGAGATAAGTCAAGGAGCCGGGGGATAGAATCATATAGTTGTACGATATTGAATGTGCCGCAACAATATCTATTTAAATGCTTCCACGCTATCGGATCGAACGCTGACCATTCTGTGCGAAGCAAATATGAGCAGAGATAAGTCGAGGAGCTCGCTTAGCAGTATAAGCATGTGTTGTCCAATCTTTGCTATGCAGGGATAGGACACATATGAGCCAAGCAGCTCTAAAAAAGAGAGTGACCTCAATATACACACCTAGATACAGTTTACGAGTCTAAAGCCATGGCTGTGGCTGCGGAAATTGCTTCAAATAAAATGACACGACTCAGGTCCAGATATGCAAGTAGCATGTGAAAGGAAATAGTACCGGAACATAAGATAAAAGATATGTGCAAGAAAACGATTCCGCTCACAAGAGAATCCTAGGATATGTGAATATTGGCAGGATAATTCGCATACGAAACCTGCTAGAGCGATCTTCGTTCACCTTTTCAAACCGATTTAATATGCAGCAAGAAACAACAACTAGTTGGCAACACTTTCAAACCCCCCACGCACCTTAAGGGCCTTCCGGGTAGTCTCTGAGTGTTTGAAAGGCTTGCCAGCAATGCCATCACTCTGTGTAGCTACCACGAGAATGGGTAGGGCAGATCTGTCGCCTATGCCACTCCAGGCGTAAATGATATCCAACAGTCCCTCCAGCGCCTGAGCCGACTCCACACTGGTAATGGAATACACCAGCATGATCCCGTCCGCCATCTCGAGGAAGGGTCGACTCTCTTTGAGTGGAACGCTTTCCACGGCTGTGTCTAATACCTGAAAGACAGCAAAGGAAACGAACTTGAGAAAAATGAGAGCCCAGAGAGGGCGATTAATGCAATCGTGAGCTGTGTACAGTGCGTGGGCACACATACATTCAACGCGCTTGGGGTACATGCGATGCTACTTGTTCTAGTTCCGAGAATTTAAGTCTTTGGGGTTAGAATATTTCGTAGCTGATCATAGCGAGATAATGTTACGCTTCACGGTTGTAGTGCACTGAAATTCACAAGCGAGTCTAACAGTGTATAACTCATACTTGACAGTAACAAAATTTTTGATGATATGAGAATATCACATAATATAACATTAGACTTTGGCGTCCATCATCTGAGAAACAGTCGGACGAACAACTTCTCGACAATTCTTTCGTTTGGATGACCTGCGCAATACGTATTAGTGTTAAAGACGATGGCATCGTTATGACCCCACCACACATACATTTATGAAAGTAACCGAGGTCTCGTTGCATCTACTATACTTTACGTAGCAGAATTGGATAGTCAGTTTGTAGTCGAGATCAGGACTTGGGAGCAATTAAATCATCTCAGCATGATATCCCTGGTACTCAGCATTTCGAAAAGCGAAGATGCAATCCAACTCATCTTGAGAGATCATAAACACAAAAACCAAATAGTTGAAACTGTACTAAGTCCAAACACAGTTACACAAGGTACAGAATGATTCCTTTAGACTTCATACCTTTACATCCACACTGGTTGCTGCTTTGCCGGCGCCTAGCGTGATTGTGCGGTTGTATGTTTCGAATGTGAATGTGGGCTCGTACAGCTCTTCGAAGGTACCCTGTGTGAATCTGTCGGCGACGGAAGATGTGACGAAGCACGAGCACTGTCAGCTCTTTTGTGTCTTGAAACAATACGAAAAGAGTATCTGAAGGTGTCCGTCCAGCTTACATAAGTACGAGATGAAGTGTAACGACAAAGACAATAGCATCAAGCAGTTCTCGTTAGGGAAGAGTAAAGAGCTATCGATCAGATACAATGGCTACAAAAACGCGACAACAGAACTCCCATGCAGTATTAGCAAAATTAGAACATTTGTGGTCGACAAGAACAATAAAAATCTCAGCAATTTGAGAATTATTGGTCAAAACCTACGATGCTTACCTCCGACAAAGACTGGTCTTGCCCGATTTCCTCGCGCCGATGACGGAGACACATGTCTGTATGCAGTTCAGATTCCTCTGCGAATTGCTCCTGCTGCCGCTAGCTATACTGCCATTGTTACTTTGTGCTTTGGGGGATGCTGTATGCGCGAGGTTGTTCATAAATAGGGATAGGCCCATCTTCCCCTTATTGGCACCCGCACTTAGCTGGCGGCGCGGCGATTGGCTCCGACGGCCCGGCGATGGACTTCTACTCGACGTTATATTCACATGTCCAAACGAAATTTTACTGCTGTCGCTATTATCTGTTTGTCTGTTGATAGTCATGTATGCATGCGTACAAAGCCGTCAGTGGATGGGCGCGTAAGTGGACCAAATTGTGTTGCAGCTCGATAGGTGTATTTGTAGCAATGAAAATGCAGATTTCCCGCCGATGGTTGAATAATAGGTACAATTTAGATATACGCTACATGTAAGACCACGAATATCTTGCGGGAACTGTATCTTCCCTTGAGTTCAAAGACCAATCACATATCCATGCAATCGATCACTGCTACAGCCGCACGTGCAAAGGCAGGCAATGACAATTGAAAAATTCCACAGACAAAAGTCACTACTAATATTTTGACACGGTTCTGAATACCTATCTATCTATCTATCTATATCTCTATTTCCATCTATATCTGGTAAAAAAATATTATATATATATATATATACACACACACAAATACACACATACAAACACACACAGATATATATATATATATCATACACACACACACCAAC